AGTGTAGTCTTTTATACTTGTCCTTGTTTACAAGAATCAGTAAAGAAATTCACTATAGATGTGTTAAGTATAATAAGTTTAAAATACATTGAAAGAAATTTTGACAATGCAAATTTGGAAAGAAAGTAAATTAGGTTCAAAACTTGGACTCATCAAAAAAGAATAGATAATAAAGTATTTTTCTCAGAATTTGTTATATGCTAATGGACTAGACAGTGTTAATGTACTTATTGCCATGTATATATTATGTATAGTTATTGTACTTATTGTATATATTTTTCTTATGCTAGTTATCACCTTTTTAAAAATTTTAGACAAAAGGGGGTATATGTGGTAATATTTTGCTTGTACAAAGAGAACCTGTTTGATGGTCAGAGAATGGAGCCTGCCACTAGCTAACCCTAGAGGTCTGGAGGTCTGTACAGACAGATAGGAATGAGGTAGCTGGGCAGAAACAGGATATAAGCAGGGAGAAACAGGAAATTTCTCTCTTGTCTGATGAGAGGTTAAGGAGGTAAGATGTTGTTCAATGATGTTCATAGAAGCACTATTTGTAATAGCTAGAAAGTGGAAGCAGCCTAGATGCCCCTCAACTGAAGAATGGATAGATTAAATGTGGTACATTTACACAATGGAGTACTACTCAGTGGTAAAAAAACAATGGAATCTTGAAATTTGCAGGAAAATGCATGGATCTAGAAGAAACCATTCTGAGCAAGGTAACCCAATCATAAAAAGACAAGCATGGTAAGTACTCACTCATATGTGGATTTTAGACATAAGATAAGATTACCAACCTACTGTCCACACTGCCAAAGAAGCTCATAAACAAGGAGGACCTTAAGAGAAACATACATGGTCCCCTGGAGAAGGGGAAAGGGTCAAGATCTGCTGAGCAAATGGGAGCATGGGAAGGGAGGGAGCTAGGAGAATGAGAAGGGGAGAAGAAGCAGGATGCAGAGGACATGAGGGAGCAGAAAGTTTGAGTCAGGGGAAGAATAGATAGCAAGAATGGAGATATAATAGAGGGAGACATTTTGGGTTTACAGAGAAATCAGGTACTAGGGAAATGTCTGGAGATCTATAAAGATGACACCAGCTAACAATCTAAGCAACAGAGAAGAGATTACCTTAAATGCCTTCCCCTGATTATGAGATTGATGACTGACTTATATGCCATCCTATAGCTTTCATCCAGCAGCTGGTGGAAGTAGAAGCAGACACCCACAACTAATCACTGAACTGAACTGGAATCCAGATGCAGAGAAGGACGAGTGAAGAGCACAGGCATCCAGACCAGGCTGGTGAAACCCAGAGAAACAGTTGACCTGAACATCAGGGAACTCTTGCTCCCCAGACTGATCCAAACCCCAGGAACATGGGTTTCTGTGAGGAAACCTCAGAAATCTATGGGACCTCCTGTTTAAGTTCAGTACTTATCCTTCGCATAGGTGTGGACTTTGGGAGCCCATTCCATATAGAGGAATACTCCCTGAACCAAGACACATGGGGGTGGGCCTAGGTCCTGTCCCAAAGGATACGATAGACACTGATGACACCTTATGGAAGGCCTCACCATCCAGGGGGAGCAGAAAGGATATGTGATAGTTAGGGTTTTAGTTGGGGGGGGGGGCAGTAGGGAAGGACAGGTGGGAGAAGGGAACTGGGATTGTCATGTAAAACAATCCTGTTTCTAATTCAAATAAAAAATAGAAAAAAAAGGTGGTAAGATGTGATATGACTTTCTCCTTCACTCTAATCTATCATGTCTGACTCTGGCTTTTTATTGTCTATACCAATTAAGAACTCTGTTTACAGGTAAAAAATTAAATACACATGTAAATCCTGGTCATCCTGATCCAGAAAGAGAAATATATATTCATTTATATGTGTATATTATTTGTTAAGTTGATATAAGCTGATAATCAAGCTACAATCCATAGAACCACAGAGGTTAGGTATAAAGTGAGGGACTATGGAAAAGAGATCTCATTAAGAAAGAGAAATATAATAGTTATGGATGGGTGGAGTGCTGTAATGGGAAGATCAAGTGGGAAGGAAAATAGGGAGAGAATACAAGGAGAAACATGTAAAATTGGGGCCATTTGAGGGATAGTATGGAAATCTAATTCAAGAGAAGCTTCCTAAAATACATACATATACAAAAAGTAATCTAAATGAAATTGCCAAATAATGGGGGTGATAGATCCCCAATAGGCATTGTCACCAAATGAAACTTCCAGTCTATGGAGTGGGTTACAACTAACTTGAATTGTTGTCCAGTGGGTACAATGAGAATCTCAAAACAACTCATTCTGCTGGCAAAACTATTGGTTGCTCTCAACAAACTGAAGGTAAAGCCCCATTACTAAAGACAACATCTACACAAGTCATTGAAAATGGAGAAGTAGAGCCTTAACCCCTACTTGCTAACACCTTTAGTACAGGAAGCTACTCAACACAGTACCAAAAGATAAAAGCACATATCAAGATAGGCACAACTTTATAAGACAATGGTGTCCTACCTGCAAGATATGTTAGTGTAATGTTAGCGGAAGGCTTGTGGAAATAACCAAACAACATTTGATTTGATTTCTGGCCCATTCTGCAAGATGGATGGAACTGCTATCCAATACAACTTTGTTGACAAAGAACCCATGTAACATGCTAAATAAAAGACCCAGACACAGATATTGAAGTTCCATCTTCAAGCTGAAGATCAAAGAAGTAAAGCAGCCAAGCCACTAGTTCTTACCTCTATCTCAGGCTGAAAGAGCAGATTCTGTCTCTTGACCTTTCACCAAGCCACAGATGTCTGTCTCTCAGCATGCCCGGAGAATTCTAAGACTGACTGCTGAAGATCCTGCTCCTATCTTTTATACCTTTCTAGTGTTGGAATTAAAAATGTGAGCTCTGTTACTTTTTTAGAATGATTCAATCTCATATAGCCTTGGGTGGCCTTGAACTCAAGGAGATCTATCTGTTTTTGTCTTCTGAGTCCTGGGATTAAAGGTGTATGCCTGGCTTCTATGACTAACTAGTATGGCTGCTTTGCTATTTTGATCTCCATTGGCTTTAATAAATCATAAACAATATATCACCACAAACCTCAGACTAGACAGCCCAATGACCTAGGACAAAGCCAAACACTACTGCCCTAAAAACACAAATGTAGCAATAAAAAAGACTGCAAATTATATTCTGTGATGCTCAGTCATCATCAGAGAAGCTTCTTCCTCCAGCAGATGTAAACAAACACAGAGACCCACAGCCAGACATAATGCAGAGATCTTGAATAATTCAACCCTTAATTGTTGTCTCCTTCAAATCCCTCCTCTCAGGGCTTGGGGAATATTGTAAAGAGGAGACAGAAAGATTATAATAGACACAGGTGATGATAGACACCAAAAAAAAAAAAAACCCAAGTCCTTATAAATCAACATGGTTAAAGCTCATATGAACTTACAGAGACTGAGGCAGCATACACAGGGCCTGTTTGGTACCAGGATTGTACCAGATCCTCTATACATATACTATGACTAACTTCCAGGTTAGTGTTTTTCTGGGTGTGTGAAAGGGTGGATCTCTGATTCTTGTGCCTTCTCTTGGGCTCTTTTCTTTCTGTTCATTTTGTGCAATACTACCTAAGTGTTACTTTTGGGGTTTTTTATTCTATTTTATTTCATTTTATTATTATCCCTTAGAAATCTGTTTTCTAATAAAAGCTAGAAAGGGAGTGGATCTGCATGGGAGGAAATCTGGGGAGGAACTAGGGAAAGTAAAGAAAGAGGAAGCCACTGTAAACACAATGTATTATATGAGGGGAAATCTACTTTTCAGTAAACATGGAAAAAAATCTTTACAAACAAAAAACAGAATATAAGATGTAGAGGCACAAGAATCAAAAGTTAGACTAGTCTGGATGGCATGATAAGATTATGTCTCTAAAATGATGATGATAATGAGGAGGAGAAAACAAAGGTCTGTGCTCATTGTATCTTTTCCCATGTCCATAATAACATTATAAATGGATTGGATTACCTTGCTTTAAACTTGAGTCCTCATTTATCTCTGTGGGGAGTTTATGTATTTCTATGCCCTACTCCCTAAGGCTTTTCTCACTTTCTGTACTGGCTCCTCCCAGAGAAAAACGCACTTATTAATAGCACTGGTTTCACCTTTATTTTCTCATTCCGATTAAGAGGCAGGCACTGTGTTCCTAAAGGCTCTGTATAAATCTGTATTAATTAATTCTAAATCTTTTGAATTCAAATTACATACATTAACTTAAAAAGGAAAATAATAAACTCCCAATGTTTATTTTGTTTGCTTGCTTGGTTTTTGAAAAGGCATAGTTTGTAAGTAACATTCCAATTTTATCATTTGAATCAATACTAAATTAATAATAAAGGCTATTATTATGTATTTGCCATTTCAAATTCTGGCTACTGTTTCATTTAGTCTCAAAAGCACCATATAAATTATCTTAGTTGTGTCTTTCACTGGGGAAACTTTGGGTTTTCTCAGTATACAACCAAGAGTAAGTATAAGCATTCTCTCAATTCTCAGGAACAATTTTCTTGCTTATTGAAGCCTTTATGTAGTATTCCAAACATCTCAGATCATTAAGCATTCAGTTTGTGGAGGCAAGTTTCTGGTTGTGAAATCCAGCTCTTCCACGTACTAATTTAAGTACCTTATCATTTTTAGGCCCCAGCTTCTCACCTGTATGATGGGTTACTTATGTCAGGAATGACCAATAAATACGAGCCCTGCATTCTGATTTATAAAGCAATGGAGTACTACCTGCATTTACATTCCTGTTCTCCAGAACTTTACCCACTTGCTTGCCTGACCAAAAAGAAAAAAAAAATAAGCCTGCCTTGTTACATAGCCCCAGATCTTTGGAGAGTATAGAGAAGTAAATGAGAGGTTTTCTACTTAAAATTCTTCTTACCAGTAAAGCCAAAAAAGGTATTCACAGAAAAGAGGAGAGTGGTGTTCGATTCGGCAGGACATATATTAAAATTGGAACAATACAGAGAAGATTAGCATGGCCCCTTCGCAAGGATGACACACAAAATTCATGAAATGTTCCATAATTTTACATAGGCAATAGACAATCCCACTCTACAAAAACACAAAGTAAAAGGCAGGGTAAATCCACATACAATACCAGTACTAACAACAAATAAAAAACAAACAAGAATAAAGAATCAATGGAACTTAATACTTAATTTCCAACAATATTAATGGTCTTAAGTTGCCTATAAAAAGACAAGGCTAACAGAATGGATATGAAGACAGAATCCATCCTTCTGCTGCATACAAGAAACACACCTTGAATTAAAAGACAGATATTACCTCAGAGTAAAGGGTTGGGATAAGATATTCCAATCAAATGGACCCCAAAAACAAGCTGGAGTAGCTATCCTAGTATCTAACAAGTTAGACTTCAAACTAAAATCAATCAAAAGAGATGAAGAAGGTCATTTCATTTTCATCACAGGAAAAATCCATCAGAAAGAAGTCTCAATTCTAAACATCTATGTCCCAAATACAAATGCACCAACATTCGTAAAAGAAACATTATTAAAACTCAAATCCAAATAAGGCCTCACAGAATTATAGTGGGAGACTTCAACACCCCACTCTCACCCCTGGACAGGACCACGAGACAGAAACTTAACAAAGAGACAAAGGAACTAACAGAAGTTATGACCCAATTGCGATTAAGAGAAATTTATAGAACTTTCTATCCAAACACAAAAGAATATATGTTCTTTTCAGCATCACATGGAACCTTCTCAAAAATCGATCACATTCTCAGCAACATAGCAAACCTCAACAGGTACAAAAAATTGGAATAATCCCCTGTGTCTTATCAGACCACCATGCTTTAAAGATAGAAATCAAAAACAAATCAAAGTGCAAAAAGCTACCAACTCATGGAAATTGAACAACATGCATTTGTAACATTCCTGGGTCAAGGAAGAAATAAAGAAAGAAATTAAAGACTTCCTAGAATTCAATGAAAATGTTGACACAACATACCCAAACACTTTGAAAGCTGTACTAAGAGGAAATTTCATAGCTCTAAGTGCTCACATGAAGAAACTAGAGAATAGCCACACCAGAGATCTGACATCACAGCTGAAATCTCTAGAAAAAAATGGAAGCAAATTCACCCTGGAGGAGCAGACGCCAGGAAATAATCAAACTGAGGGCAGAAATCAATAAAGTTGAAACAAAGAAAACAATTCATGCAAATTAACAAAATCAGAAATGAAAAGGGGGATATAACAACGGACATTGAAGAAATCCAGAAAATCTTCTGATCGTACTTTGAAAACCTGTACTCCACAAAATTTGAAAATTTAAAGGAAATGGACAATTTCCTGGACCGACATCACTTACCAAAATTCAATCAAGAACAGATAAGAAACTTAAACAGACCTATAAACTCTAAAAAAATAGAAACAGTCATCAAAAGTCTTCCAACCAAAAAAAAAAAAGCCCAGGGCCAGATGGCTTCAGTAAAGAATTCTACCAGAAATTCAAAGAAGATCTAATACCAATACTCCTCAAATTTTTCCACAAAATAGAAGCAGAAGGGACATTGCCAAACTCTTTTTATGAGGCTACAATAACTGTGCCTAAGAAAGAGAACTACAGACCAATATCCCTCATGAACATTAATGCAAAAATTCTCAATAAAATCCTAGCAAATCGAATACAAGATCACATCAGAGAAACCATCCACCATGATGAAGTAGGCTTCATCCCAGGTATGCAAGGATGATTCAACATATGAAAATCCATCAATGTAATCCACCATATAAACAGACTGAGGAAAAAAAACCACATGATCATCTCACTAGATACTGAAAAAACCTTTGACAAATTCCAACACCCCTTCATGATAAAGGTCTTGGAGAAATCAGGGATAACAGGAACATACCTCAACATAATAAAAGCAATATATAGCAAGCCAACAGCCAACATCAAATTAAATGGAGAGAAACTTGATCCAATTCCTCTAAAATCGGGGACAAGACAAGGCTGTCCACTCTCTCATACCTCTTCAATATTGTCCTTGAAGTTCTAGCTAGAGCAGTAAGACAACAAGAAGAGATCAAAGGAATACAAATCGGAAAGGAAGAAGTCAAACTCTCACTATTTGCAGCCGATATGATAGTCTACATAAGTGACCCAGAAAAACTCTACCAGGGAACTCCTGCAGCTGATAAACACCTTCAGCAAAGTGGCAGGATACAAGATTAACTCAAAAATATCCATAGCCCTACTATACACTGATGATACATTGCTGGAGAAAGAAATCAGAGAAACATCACCCTTTACCTTTGCCACAAACAACATAAAATAGCTTGGGGTAACACTAACCAAAAAAAGGAAAGACATGTACCATAAGAATTTTGAGTCTCTAAAGAAAGAAATTAAAGAAGATACCAGAAAATGGAAAGATCTCCCATGCTCTTGGATAGGTAGGGTCAACATAGTAAAAATGGCAATGTTGCCAAAAGCAATCTACAGATTCAATGCAATCCCCATCAAAATCCTAACACAATTCTTCACAGATCTTGTCATGTAAAACAATCCTGTTTCTAATTCAAATAAAAAAAAAAAGAAAAGAAAAGAGGAGAGGAGAGGAGAGTGAAGTGTAACATATGCTATTAGCTCCTAAACACTGCCTCAAGACAGCTAGGAACTGCTGCAATGAACACAATAATCTGTCTATATGTGAATCAAGGCACAAGAGAAACATTACTAACTAGAGCAGCAGACTGTGTTGCTGATCCTTAGGAGCTTAATTTTCCCTTACCTGTTACACTTGATATATAGCTCAGCTTTGAGTGGTCCAGCCTTCTCCAACTCTTTATCATCAATTTATTTCATCTGGCCACTTGCTAACTGAAAAAAAAACTTGAAATTTGCTGTGTTATTGCATAGGAAGAAGCCATTTTGGAGTCAACTAATCCTGTTTGTTAAATATTGACAAACTCCTCACAAATGTATTCTTTAGTTTTTGGTGCCAATACCTCCTAACAGTTCCAGCTTTAAACTTTAAGGACAGAAAAAAAAACTGAGTAAATAAAAGGTGAAGATACATTTAGTAAAAAACTGGAAGGTATATTCTTATATTTAGATTCTTTCTTTAAATACAATGCTTAATAATGACTGCACTTCTGACAGATTTTCTGAGTTTTTTATGCATATACATTATTATAGGTTAAGTTCTAGAGCTATCTGTCAAATTAGATCCATTCACATATATTACAGCTTTTTTCTAACTATACTACCCTTATGATAAACAAATGTACAGTTTAAGGATTAAGATGGTGTCCAGACAGAAAAATACCTATAATTATGAGGTTAAAGACAGTGGTCTACTTGAGGAAGTTGTGAAGATGTGGAAGAGTCCCCACTGTCAGGAATATGGCCCAAGGTGGGACCATAGAAGATCCCATGGTGGGGGACAAGCTGTGGATGAGAGACAGACAGACCTACTGACAGAACTTCTGTGGAAGTTCTATTGGAAGGAGGGAGGGAAGTAGCGAGGAAGGCAGGGAGGGATGTAGGGAGGGAGGGAGGGAGGAAGATACAGTGAGAGACAAGACACAGAGATTGGTGTGCCTCCTCAGAGAGATCGCAGAAAAAAGAGAGAGCAGAAGTGGGCAGAGTTTGTTTATTAAAGGGATCTCTGCATCTGCATAGAGAGCCAGGGTGCTGCCTGTCCTGCCAAGAAGGGTGACACACTGTGTCAGGTTCACAAGGGGCAGAACCAGGTTTGCATGGATTAGTACACCCACAGTCAGAAGAAAATTATTACACAAGAGTGTTTCTACCAAAGAAACAAAAAGCACAAATAGTCAAAAAGTGTATCAGCAGCACATTAATAATCACAGGTATGTCCTACGGTACATGTTTTAGTAAGAATGAGCAGAGAAGTAATTGTGTGACTCTCCCTGGAGCTAAATTCAGAGATTTGCTATTGTTGACTTAAGAAAACAAGACAAGCAATGCCAGATATTAGTTTGTTGAGTTTTCTCAAAAGAATTTTCCAAGCCAGGATAAAGAGAACATCAGTGGCTGAAGTGGAAGCCTGGAAGCCAGGAGAGAGAGAGCATCAGCAGTTGAAAAAGAAGCCAAGAGAGTGAGAGAGAGAGAGAGAGAGAGAGAGAGAGAGAGAGAGAGAGAGCCAGCTAGTGAGCTAGAGGAGAAGTGGGGAGATAGAGAAGATGAGCTTCCAAGCAGGAGGCCCAGAAGCCAGGAGAGGGAGAGAGAGTGTGTCAGAAAATGAGTGAGAGGCCCAGAAGTGTTGACAGCAGCAGCATCCAGAAAGCACGTTAAGATGTGATGCTGGGCATGCTGGGAGACACTAATTTCAGAAATCCTATAAACTCATGGAAATTGAACAATGCTCAACTGAATTACCCCTGAGTCAAGGAAGTAAGAAGAAACTCTTCCTGAAGTTCAATGAAAATGACAGCAAAACATACCCAAACTTCTGGAACACAATGAATGCAGTGATAAGAGGCAAGTTCGTAGCCTACATGAAGAAGCTGGAGAAATCCCACATTAATAAATTAAAAGAGTAACTGAAAGCTCTAGGACAAAAAGAAGAAAACTCACTCAGAAGGAGTAGTTGGATGGAAACACTCAAATTAAGGACTGAAATCAATAAAATAGAAACAAAACAACACAAAGAATCAATGAGACAAAGAGTTGGTTCATCAAGAAAATCAACAAGATATGCAACCATTTAACCAAACTATCCAAAAGACAGAGATATAATATCCAAATTAGCAAGATCAGAAATGAAAGTGGGACATAACAACATACACTAAGGAAATCCAGAGAATCATCACATCATATTTCAAAATTCTGTACTCCACAAAACTGGAAAATTTAAAGGAAAATGGAAAACTTTCTGGAAAAATGCCAAATGCCAAAATTAAATCAAGAACAGATTTTTAAAAGTTGAATAGCCAGGCAGTGGTGGTGTATCTTTAATCCCGGCACTAGGGAGGCAGAGGCAGGTAGATCTCTATGAGTTCAAGACTAGCCTGGTCTACAAGAGATAG